ATATATATATATATATGGCATATAAAATGTATGTGTGTGTATACAGGTGTATTTTTTGTGTGTTCATATATGTGTGTGTGTGTATACATATAGCCTTTGGTTTACCTGGTGGGAAGGGATACAAATAGAAGTGAGAGAGATGAATATTGTTTCTCTTATACATCCCTATTTCACCGATTAAAATAAATATATTTTTCTTTTTGAATTTTAAGAGAAATTTAGTGAAAGAATTTTTTCACTCTTTTTCTGCTTTTCCCTCTCTGACCTTCCTCCTTCCCTCTTTTCCCTTCTTTCTTTTTTTCATATTTGTCCATTCTTCCTTCATTCTTGATTTCATTTCTTCAGTCTTTCTTCTTTTCTTGGTTTAAATAAAATGACATTAACACATATTTTCATTTCAACCAAATTCTAATTGATCCACAATAAGAATATATTAAATTTATCCTATCTAATATTCTTTTATTTGATATTCTCATGTCATTGCATTCTCTCTTAAAAATTCAGAATTAATTCTGGTAAAGTTTTCTCAAATTGTTTTTTCACTAGGAAAGGTATGGTGATTAGAGAGGAAAATGAGAAGCAACTTCTCATTTTGAGAACCTGACTCTCATTGTGTGTGACCTATCTCACATTGTGATGGAGTCATCTCATTAACCCGGAAGCCGGAGGAACTGTTCTGACCTATTATTCCAAAGAGTATTCGCCATATTATTTTTGAGGGAAGGTATGCCCTAATGATATATTAATTCATTTTCTGTTCTAATCAAGGAGAAAATTATTCACTTCATTTAGTAAGTAAATTTAACTGATTTCAGATGAGAAAGATGTTTCATTTCACAAATCTTTAAGTACTATCTGTCCACATGATATAATTTATTTGACTAAGTTATCACTTTCTAATCAATGGATTTGTCTGACAAATCAAGTTCTTTTCTCCATCAGATCTAAGTTAGTTTGCAGGGAAGATCAACAGACCAGCCCTAGAGAACTAATATGGTAGCAAATGGGGCTCTACAGAAGAGGATGTTTATACCTCCTCCAGGAGAATTACTTCTCTATTAATTGAATCAGTGATTGTTCCACCCATAACTAATTATGCTTCTCCTGCCGTAATATGGGAAGTCCCACATGTACACTCACTACACAAGGGAAGTGGGTGGCATTATTCCTAAGTCTCACCTTTGTCACATTTTAATCCAAAGCATTCTATTTAAAGCCTATGTTATCAAAATGCATTAATTTGTAAAAGTCTGAGTTTTAATACATTGATTTTTAATGTAATTACACTTGCCTAGTATAATTTAGTCAAAATTGGTAAAGAATGTGAAAAGAACAAATTTTATATCATATAGCCAGAGCTTTATGGTGGTGGTGGTGGTGGTGAATGATGGTCTGAAATTGGCTAGGATTGAATCTATAAGTTATCATGTTTACTATGAAATAAAGCATTTTTTTTTTTATAGAGTCTCACCCTGTTGCCCTGGGT